GATGTGGACATTGGAGTCAGAAGCGGACTGGCCAAGTTTGCCAATGATACCAAACTTTGGGGTAAAGCATGCACACCTGAGGACAGGGGGGTAATCCAGGCTGACCTTGACAGGCTCAGTAAATGAGCGGACGAGAACCTGATGGTGTTTAACACTGAAAAATGCAAGGTTCTCCACCTTGGGAGGAAAAACCTGCAGCATGTCTATAGGCTCAGCAGTGATACACTGACTAGCACCATGGACAGAGGGACTTGGGGGTCATGATTGACCACAAAATGAACATGAGCCTGCAATGTGATGCTGCAGCCAGTAAAGCGAGCAAAATGCTGGCTTGCATCCATAGATGCTTCTCAAGCAAATCCCAGGATGTCATTCTTCCATTGTACTCGGCCTTGGTGAGGCCACAGCTGGAGTACTGCGTCCAGTTTCGGACTCCACAATTCAAAAAAGGATGTGGAGAAGCTTGAGAGAGTCCAGAGGAGAGCCACGTGCATGATCAGAGGTCAGGAAAACAGACCTTATGACGAGAGGCTGAGAGTCATGCGACTTTTCAGCCTGGAAAAGCGCAGGCTGAGGGGTGACCTGATGGCCACCTATAAGTTTATAAGGGGTGTTCACCAGGACCTGGGGGAACATTTGTTCACCAGAGCGCCCCAAGGGATTACAAGGTCAAACGGTTATAAACTCTTGCAAAACCGTTTCAGGCTGGACATAAGGAAGAACTTCTTTACTGTCTGAGCCCCCAAGGTCTTGAATGGCCTGCCGCCGAAGGTGGTTCAGGCACCTAATTTGAACGCCTTCAAGAGAAACCTGGATGTTTTTCTTGCTGGGATCCTATGACCCCAGCTGACTTCCTGCCCCTGGGGCGGGGGGCTGGACCCAACGATCTTCCGAGGTCCTTTCCAGCCCTAAGGTCTATGAAATCAATGAAATTAATACTGATTGTTACTTTACAGGTGATTGTTAACATCTGTGAAGTAAGTGGGTCATTAAATGGGCCAATGACTCCCTTAGTTTCCTGAATAGGAATGCCAGAGCATCCCTACCCCTGCCTCTGCCTGCAGCAGGGGTTGAGGGAAGGGCAGCGTACCAGATTTCACATAGTTCCAGATTTTACATTCTCCCAAATGGTCACCCTGCCTAAAAGAGCAAGCAGCTGGCAGGTTTGGCTCTGACTTGCAGAGGTGCCAGCATGCAACCTAGGATGCGTGGATCTGAAGTGAGCCTGTAATTCCACCAGGGTGCACTCTAGTACTGAAGAGTAAGGTGGTTGGCAGAGTTCTTGTAAGAACTGTGTGCCCTGTGTTCAAGCTGTCTGAACTTGGTCTAATCTTGACTTAGTCAAACTAGCACTGGCCTTTCCTGTGTGAGACTGTGTAATAAATGATTTAAGGTAAATAGCTTAGTGGATGAAGGGAATGCAGTGTACCTAATATACTTGGGACTTTAACTTTTTTCCAACTACTCAGTTGGTCTAATACAAGATATGACGTCTACCCAAAGAACCTTTCCTGCCTGGACTTTAGTACAGCTTTTGACAGTTTTCCACATGATCGTCTCATAAGTGAAGTGGAGCAATGTGAACTAGACAGAATTACTATTAAGTGGATATAGTATTGGCTGAGTAACCACCAACAATGACCCTAAATGGATCCAAGGCAAAATAGCAGTTCTCAATTGGAGTCTGCCACCAGTCTGTTCCAGGTCCTGTGCTGTTTAACATGTTTATTACTGATTTGGAGGCAGGAATAGAGAACGTTCTGAGCAGTTAACTTTCTGAGCAGATTACACTTATCTGGGAGGAGTTGCAAACATTTTAAAGGACAGGATTGCAATCCAAAAGGATACTGATAAATTAGTGAGCTGGGCTATAGGCTGCAAAATGGAATTCAGCAGACAAATGTGATATGCTACTTCCAAGGGAAGAAAAAGCACATGTTCAGAATGGGGGATAACTGGCTGGCCTGTACTCTGTTGAGAAGGATCTGGGGTTTATGGTTATGTAGACTCAACTTGAGTCAGCAGTGTGATGCAGTTTTGGCCTACCTTAGCAGAGCTTGGGGGTGATAGCACCACTCTGTTTAATAGCTCTGATTAGGTCTCAGTTGGAGTACTGTGTCCGGTTCTCTTTCTTCATTTTTAAGTAGGAAATAGAGAAACTGAAGAGGATCCAGAGGCAGATGATCAAGATGAAGCATGTGGAATGCAGCTGTAGGGTGAAAGGTTGGAAGGAATGAGTTATATTTAGTTTGGAAAAAAGGAGATCAAGAGGGACATGGTAACAGTTTTGAAATATCTGAAAGGTTGCCATAAAGAAGAGGCAGAATAACTGTTCTCCCTGCTACAGGGGACATGATTCAGTAGGTGCCTGTACGTGTGCTCTGACACATTCTACTTAGAACGCTTAGTTGAATTTGCTCTGTGTACTAATTACAACACTCTGCCATTGCCACTGGGGTGCTTAAACTGAAGCTTCTTGAGTGAGCTTTAGTTAAAGCATCCCATGGCCATTTTTAAATATGCAGGGGCTTAATACATGTGACACTGCAGCATTTTAATTAGAGCAGCTCTCTGGAAACCACTCTAATTTAAACGCCCTATCCCTGAGCACATGCATTGGCAACGCATAAGGGGTGCACACGGGTGCATGTGCACCCCATGAATTTGGTGTTGCACCCCCTGCAATCGGCCGCTGCTGACATTGGCAGCGGTCCCTGCAGGCAGTCACCGATCACCCCTCCCCTTGTTGCTGACACCATCTGTGGGCAGTCGCAGATCATCGCTGCCACCACCAACGCTTCCATTAGTGTCTGCGGGAGCTCCCTACGGCCACGCCACCACCACTGCCACCCTGTGTTGTATTATCTGTCTTATGATGGCTTCTCTCCACAGGCTTGAGAAGCTGGACAATGAAGCCAAGACCAACCAGGACAAGTTTGATGAGATCACCTCAAAATGGGACTCAGCGAGGGAGAAGATCATCCCTCAGGACCTATGGGAGGTGCTCAACCAGCAGCAGCAACAGTGCGCTCTGCTCATAGAAGAGAAAAACAAGCTCATCGGTGAACTGCAGCAGGTGGGGTGCCAGACTTGTGTATGTTGAGGGGGAGGGAAGCTGGTAATGGGCACGGCTGGAGCATGTAGATATCAAAAAGACACTGTCCAAGAGTAAGGGCATATCTGTACCACCTCTGCAGCATTCTCTGCCTACTCATCCCACTCCAAACCCTGGGCATGAGCACGCATACACCCACTGAGCACATGCTGCCCCCTGAGCGCACACTGCACCTAAGACAGCTGAGGAAGCTGCATTTCCTCATTTCTAGGAGCTGATGCATATGTGAGGTAGGTATGGCTATGCAGGACCTTCTTGGCAGCATATCCAGACACAGCACAGAGCAGTGTAGACATGCTGTAAGTGACTAGCACCAACCAACTCCTTTCATTTGTCAATGCTGCTGGGCACCTCTATATTGATAAAGCAGCATACTCTGGTTGTATGCATATACTGCCAATAACATACCATGTTGCTGGTCCCAGCCCTTATGAAGAGACCTGAGAGAGCAGAGCATCTCTATGGTAGTGGAAAATCCTGTCCTGGAAGGAAGTGGGCTTCCTTTCCCAGGGGCTTAGAAGGAGACTGATTGAATAATTATGAAGCAGGCCTTGACATCATCTCTGAAAGAGTCATCCTCCGAGATATCCCTGCACTAGTGTTTGCTCAGGATGTGATCTGTCATTGGTCAGTGTTCCTCTGTCTTTTTCTTAGAAAACTTCTACAAAACACTTAGGGCAGGGACAGATTGGGAAGCTGTCCCTTAACTTTTATCTGGACCCAGTGCACATTTCTCCAGGCCTTCCATCATGGTCCTCTTGCAGAATCCCTGCATCCCACTCTACCTTGCTCCTGCTGATTTGCTTTGTATAGAAGGAGCTTGGATAGAAGGGTGATGGGCCAAAACATTAAACAGCAGGGACCAGGTGAATGTGGAATGGCTCTTATTCACTTAAGAGTCTGGACGTAGGGCACTTTAGCACTAGTGTAACTTACAGTATTTTGTATCCAAATGTAAATTACACTAGTGTCCCCAAGTAGCTCCTGTAATAATACTTATTAGGTTGCCTCATCACTAGGTGCCAGGGGAACATGTAATATCCTGTTTGCAGTGAGCAGACGGCTATCCTGGGATAACTGCAGACACGTATCACCTACCTCAGTGTAAATTACACGAGTGTAGGTTTACCTGTGATTTTTTTCCATGAGTAATTCTACGCTAAATTTAAGAAACTTATATCCTTCTTTGCTGGCTGTTTTATGCTGTTGGAGTGGGTTACACTGATATAAACCTGTTGTGTGTCCAGGCCCCTAGAGATACAGAAATTACAACTTGAGTAACCCTCTCTTCCCCCCCCCCGAGCTCGTGTATGACACCCTGAATTCATAGCTCTGCCAGGGCTCCATGTCCAAGTATCCATGAGGTTTCCTAGTCCTATCTAGGCAACTTCTAAATACCCCAGGCAGTGGGGCTTCTTTTTCTTTGCTAGGGAGTATAACAGATCTCCTCTCTCCTTTTTCCTTTTTTAATCATAATTGTATTTCTGATTTCATTGTCCTTGTTCTGTACAATGGTGTGTGAAGGAGTAGGTACAGGATGTTAGTTTTCAGGTTCTTAGGCTTGTGACCAGTCCTCTCAGAAAGCCTTCTCTGCTCAGTGCCTCTCTCCTTCTGTAGGAGCTAAAAAACAAAGATGAACAATACACAAAGGATCTCAAGAAACAATCTGATGACATCAACCTGCTGCTGGAGAGAATGGAGGAGCAGATCCGAAACCTAACCAAAACCTATCGGCGGGAGCTCATGCAAATCGAGGTAGGTAGCAAATGCACGGCAGGATGGCAGCAGACAGTGACTGAGCCCAATGGGAAAGCCAAAAGGCTATTCTCTTTAATGAAATTCCCCTGACGTAAGGGTATCTTGCTCATCACATTCACACTGAAGCAGTGTTTGGGTTAGCTCCAATTCAGTTCAGTGAGGGCTACCGTCAGATGTCTCTTGATGAGTGCCCTGAGAATGGAGGTGAATTGGGGCTGAAGGGTGAAGGATGGAGTGCTAAGACGATTCTGGCATCTTTTCCTGTCTAAGAGTATGGACAGTACGACACAATCAATACAGAATATTTTATCTCAGAATTAATCGTAGTAAATTTACTGTATTTACCTGAATCCAAGATGACTTTGAATTTAAGGTGATGCTTCAATAGTTAGATTTTATATATGGAAAATTCATAGATTTGTTATAATTTTCCATGGATGGAGTCTAATTATTGCAGGGTTGTCTTAAATTCACTCCTTACTGCTGCAGTGGGGAAACTGCAGTGGGGCACGGATCTAGAGGGTGAGGGGGCCCCTACTTTCTCCCCTACTGCCTGCCCTCCTCTGGCAGTGCCTGCTCCCCATAGCCTCTGCCCCCTGCCAGTTCTCTGCAGTCACTGACAGCCTCTTTGCCCCTGCCCCCCACAGCCTCTGCCCCTCTTCTCCCCCCTGCCACTCGCTGTCAGATGTGGCTTCAGTTCCATTCTCTCCCAGGCACAAAACACATGCAAGTTCTGACCCCTGCCTGGCCATTCACCAGTATCCCAGGTCTGATTGGCCAGGCAGGGGATGGAGTTTGTATGCACTCCATACCTGGAAGAAAATGAGACCTAGCCATGCCTGACAGTAAGCAGGGAGGGGATTGGTGTCTACTGCAGCTATGTCTGGCCTCAGCTTGGGATCAGGACCAGGCTCAGAGCTGCAGCAGCCACCAGCCACCAACTCCTCTCTGTACTTGAATCTGAGATGAGGAGCCTTTTTCCCATTTAGAATCGGGCTGGGGTAGGGGAGGAAACCCTTGTCTTGAATTTAAGTAAATAAGGTACTCCCCTGTAAAGAGCAAACATATCATCGGCTCATAAAGTTAACTGCATGCATGAGATGCTATTGCACTGCCTGGCCAATAGGTGTTGGCAATCCAGTTTACACTGGGCAAACCCTGGTATTAAAGTGACTAAGAGGGTGAGCACAAGGAAAGTTCTATACAGTAATTTCCCATAGAGTAAAGTTAGCAGGGCTGCATGTTGCATCCACTTTATTTTTACAACATAGTAAACTCAGTCTATTCCAGCATTTCCCAAGCTTTTTCACCACGAGGCACACTTACGTGGCCTCTCCCACCCCCACGGCACACTGCCTGAATGCAGAGTTGGGGTGGGGGGTAGCGAGCTGCCAAATGCAGAGCGGCTGAACGCAGAGCAGTGATTGGGGGGGTTGGTGACTGGCCAAAAGCAGAGCTGGGGAGGGTGGGGGGGTGGCGCACAGCCGAACGTAGAGTGGTGGGGAGCAGGTGGCACAGCACATGAATCACTGGCTGGAGCCATGCTCCCCGTATGGCTGGCTGGGGGCATGGTGGGGGGCATGGCTCCAGCCAGGCAGGGGCATAGCTCCAGCCCAAAATGCCATGGCATACCTGGACATGCCTGATGGCACACCGGTTGGGAAATGCTGGTCTGTTCAATAGTAAGTCTGTCATACTTCTGGGGTCACTGGATTCTAATGAAGACCAGTCAGTGGCAACTGACATAGGTGTAGTTACATGTTACTATTAGTATGTGCTAACTTTACAAATGTTATGCTGGTTGGGGCCCCAGGAATGGGCCTGCAGCCCAGATTGGGCCCCCACCAGACCCCAGTGACCCACATCGGGCCTCCTGCCAGCCCCTGCCCACCTACATAGTCCCCACTGCCCCCTGCTGGCCTGGATTAGGACTGCATCACCCCTCTGCTGGCCTGATCTGGCCTGTGGCCTGCCACCAGCCCAGATTAGGCCTGCTGGCTGAAATCAGACCTCCTGTCCCCTGCTAGTTCACATTGCTCCCACTGCTTCCTGCCAGCCCAGATTGGGCCTGCTGCCCCCTGCTGGCTCACACTGTACCCTCTGCCAGTTAGAATAGCTCTGTCAGATTCATGCACTGGCTTTTTAGGTCAGTTGAACTGGATGATCCCTTAGCACTCGCACTGTATTGACAAAAATGCCTCCCTGTAAGCTGACAAAGCAACCAGTCCACTTGGTGTCAAGTGTAAACCCCCAACCCTGCTTGGCCAAAAGTGCTAGTCTCTTGTAACTGTTGGGTCTGAGCTGTTTTCTAAGAAAAGGGACAAGGACGGAGCAAATGTCTAATGCTTCAAATGGTGAGCTTGAAGCATGAGGACTCAGCCACTGAATCCTCTCCTGACCTTGGATATTGAGAAAGGAGGTTGTCCTGAGGTCTGGGCAGGGCAAGTTGTCAACTCCAGCAGCATGAGTTTGAGCCTTGATCTGCTCTTGAACCACTCAGCCTCGCTGTGAGTGGGTACCTGATTATTTGGACTGGAGAGTCCAAGGCAGTCAGACATGCTGCTGGGCACATCACTGCTATGTACATGGCATTGGCTGTAGCAATGGGGTTACTTAACCACGTTGTCCCAGTGGCCTCTTAGGCCATCACAGATGCTGCCTGCCTGGGCTTATTGTACCATGCAACCCAGCTGGCCTGAAATAGGAAACAGACCCCATGATGCAAAAGGTAATACATTCACAGCACCATCTCCTTGCAGAAGGCATTTGAGCTGGAATGGCGAGAGCTACTGACCAATAATAGGAGGAAGTGGGAACAAGCCATGCAAACCCACAACGCCCAGGAGGTGAGACCTATAAGTCTGTGACCCTGTGCCTTCCCTTTACAGGCTTCATGTGATCAAGCCTCCCTACCCTCTCTCTCTTCTCATGACTTCACCTTGCTCCCAGGTTCACTTGGGCCGCTTGCTTTTTTTCTCATTACATTGACAAGCAAAGTTAGGAGAGCTGTTTTGGAGCATAGATGAAGCTCTTGAATTCCCTAGAGCAAATTGACAAAAATGGAGGATCTGTCCCTTGGTTTGCCCATAACCTTATTCCTTTGGGGATGCTTCTGGGGGGCTGTGATGTTTCTGGAGCAGGGTTACAGTTGAACAGGTAAAACCAGACTAACTTTGGGGGCCATATTGAACTTCATCTGTGCTGAATATCTCTCTCAGCCTGGTTCATGGGCCATTCTACACATACTAATGAAGAAACTAAAGCACATGTCATGGCCATGCCTGGGGGTGGCCAACATTTTTACAGCTTTGTAAGCCACCTTTAAACTGGTGTAAAAAGGATTGGAAACATAATAGTTTGCCCTACAACAGCATAACTTTCTATTCTCCAGGGAAGAGTTATCTTGGGAAAGCACAGCAATAAAAGTATACTGGTATAAGTGTCGTATGTTCACTGTTATCTCATGGGTAGCTGCTTGCTCCTGCACTGCAGCAGTTGCCCTGGGATAACTGCTTGTTTGTTCACTCTGAATCACATTGTCATTTATGGTGGTGTACAAAAGCAATATAAATTACAACAGTGGTAATGTGCCATGATCTAGGCCTTCAGCCAGACCTATATTTCACCCTGTGTGCACTCTGTATCAGGGTAGAATATAAGGTTCGTCTTTGAGGCAAAGACTGTCACAGGACTGAAAGCAAGATGCAGTGTTCTTGCCTGATTGGCTGAAGCTGGGTTAGCTGATAACCTCTGAATCCATTTTCAACCCATGGTGTCACTGCCTGGGGATTATCCCTGTATAGCTTTACTGCAGGCTGGCTAGGGATGCTGCAGTCGCATGGACTAAGCAGCCACTGGGAGCCCTGGAGATTCTCTGCTTCATCCTCTTTTGAACCCTAGCTGGAATACCTGATCAGCCGCATGAAGAAGGTGGAGGAGCATGAGAAACAGCTGAACCAGTTGCGGGGGCAGGATGCCAGGGAATTCAGCGCCCTCAAAATCCAACTAGAGAATGATGTGCAGGTATGGAGAGAGGACAGCCCTATAAGACTGGAGGGCATCAGTGCTCTATGAATGCAGGGTGTACCGTGGGAACACCCTGCAAGAGACTCGTGTCATTTAGATGAGCTAAATAACCCATGTTACTAATGGCATTGCAGTTCCATGTTCGCAAATGGTACTGTTTATGCTGAGTAAGGTGAGTGGCAGAGCTCTCAAAATGTCACTGAAGCATCCATGCACAGACTCAAAGAAGGGAAATCGGCTTGCTCTGTGGTGTGCTGCCAGAGCTATCAACACTGCTGAGTTTGCGCTGGATTTTAACAGGCTGTCTGTCACCCAGAAAAAAAATGTCTTCTCTGCAATCTTCAGTCCGCCTCTATAGTCCATGTTGCCTAGCGCACCTGCAGTGGGGAAGCATGGGGCCAGTCATTTAGGGAGGCTGTGGAGGTTTCTAAGAGCAGGTTAGATGAACATCTTTCAGGGATGATCCTGTCAGAGTGTTCTTAGCTTGTAACGCTGGGCTCTCTTTACCTGCAGTCTGATAGAACCTGCAAGTGCTTGCATAATGCAAGGTCTCTCCCTGCTTGTGCCTAAGGACTTGGATTAAAGATCTGAGTTTCTTTGCAATGCAGTTGTATTTTCATCCGTCTTCCATGGCAACAACTCTGTGGGAGACAGTTGAAATCTAGAGGTCTTGGAGATGTTAAAAATGCATGTCTTTAGCACTTCTTGTAACAGGACTTCTCTTCATCTTAGGAACTTTGTTATAAGATATCTACACTGTCTCCTTACAGTTGTCTCTCTACAGCTTGGGAAATCCTTGCTAGATTCCTCTGACTCTCCCCCAGGACAAACCATGAGTAGGGGAGGAGTGCTGTGATTATAAACATTCCTCTGTATACTCTAGATTTTTTAAGATGCTTGTTTTCTGTGACATCTCAGATCCTTGAGCAGCAGCTCCAGCAGATGAAAGCCATTTACCAACTGAACCAGGAGAAGCTGGAGTACAACTTCCAGGTGTTGAAAAAGCGGGACGAGGAAAACACCATCATCAAATCTCAACAGAAAAGGAAGCTCAATCGGTAACAGCTCAAAACCAGGTTGCGCAAGGTCATGGCCAATTTATTTCAGTCCCCTATGTGCCTCACACTTGATATTCCCCTTGTACTTACAAAGGTATTTAACAGGCTTTTCATGGACTAGAGTCCTTCCCCCTCCAAGCTCACTGCAGTTGCAGGGATGACATGAAGTTGATGTCTCTGTTCCCTGGCTCTGCCCCATGCCTGCAACCAGGCCCCAGGAGCTGGTTGCTCCTGCTGTGGCTTTGTGCAAGGATTTACTTCCGTTACGGCCCTGCTTTCCTCCTCAGGCTTTATGATGTCCTCAACAACTTGAGAATGAAGCTGGCCAGACAGATAAAACAGTTCCAGGAGGAGAACCAGAACCTGACGGCTGACTACAAGCGCATAGTAGAGCAGTACAGGGATGTGCAGAAAACAATGAGGTATGGTGCTTTCTAGAGGCATGGTTTTTCTTTGGTCATAAGGATTTGTAGGGCTATGAGCAGCAAACCTGTGCACCATGCAGTTATCTTCTGAGCAGATAGAAACTACCCACCGGTGGCTGGTTGGCTTGAGATGGAGCAGATTGCATGCTGGGAGAGGTCTATGGTCTGTGCCCTACCTCATTCAAATTAAGGGCAACTGCAGACCTCCAAGTGAGGCTGGGTGGGGAGCATTTCATCTTAGAAGCCAATGATTGGCCAATTTGCCTAGGGCATGTGACACACAGAAAGGAAGCTCATTGGTTTGTTGTAACAGGAGACCAACTCCCCTTTCTATGCAGACAGTTTGCCACCATCAACACCCAGAAGTTCCTAGAGCTGTGGCTGATGAATGAGGAGGAAGCCAAGGGGCTAATGAGGAAAGTTCTTGATGCTGATCGCATTATTCATACCCAGCAGCTGGGGCTTTTGTGGTCTGAGCCCAGCTATTGGTTCCTGAACAACATGGGCCCCATCATACAGAAGGGGAACAGAACAGCGACTGCACTGGCCCAGGAGGCATTAGAAGGTGGGATACACAGGAAAGATATATCTGTCCCCCTTCCCCCAGGCACTGGAAGCCCTTCACAGTGGTTACTGAAGCCAGCATTGCTGTTATCCCCAGATCCCAGAGGAAGATGCTGAGGCACAGTGATATAAAGGGGGCTTTCTAGGGTGGAGCCCTTAGCATCTAAAACTTCCACTCTCCATCTGCTTTGGGCATAAGGACAGAATATGAAGGCACCTGCCATTGTGCTTTCTGTTGCTGTAAGGCATCTATTCTAATGGGGCCCTATTCTGTTTTCCCTAAACAGTTTTCAGTCTAAAATAGAATTTCCAGAGAGAGGGTAGCAGAGGAAGAGGGTGAGCAGGGGTGATAATTCCAGGAGCATCTCAGGCATGGGACAGATCAGGGCCTGCTGATCACCCTGAAAGAATCAGAGTCCTCTCCTCATTCCTGGTTCTGAGCCAGTGTAATTAACTTCAAGAGGTAAAATCAGTGTAATGGAGTGAGGAGCAGGGCTCACTGATGTTTGTAGTGAAACAGTGGCTGTCAGTACAACCCAGTAGTGGAGACCTGTGAGTAGAAGAGTGTGGGTTGTGCTTTTTCCTGACAAAGCTCCAGAGTAGAACTGGACCTGAGAGAACTGACCATTGGAGCAGCAATAAGGAAGTAGGCAGTTGGCCTTGCATCCCCCTCTCCTGGCATCTGTCAGTCACCAAGGGCATAAAGATCCTTTGTAAGGATTCTTTTCATAAGATGTATGAAACTCATGTTTCCTCCAATGGGCCTGTGCCCTGACCCCTCCAGTGAGGTGCCCATGCCAGCACAAGGAGCAGCACAGGAGACTGGATCTTTTGAGCTTCTTTCTTTTGTGCTCCAGAGAGCAACCAGCCAAAAGCAGAGGATACAGAGGAGGCTGAGGATAAAGAGAGGCCTCTTCAGCACATCTCCCTGAAGACTGTCAAAAAGATCCTGGAGCTCCTGTGTGATGAGTCAGTAAGTAGGGTTTGTGCTTGGTGGGGCACTGTTCATTATGTGGGCTGTGCCTTCACAGGAAGTAGGACTGGAAGGGGCCAGCCACTGTGACTGCTGGTAGCCATGCAACAAGCATCTATCCAGCAATCTTGATAAGAGCATCCTCTCTGGATACCAGACACCACAGCTAGAGAACGTGATACTAGGAACCCTACAGCGTCACAGAAGGAGAGTTGGAAGAATCAGTGCTTTGGTCAATGCCCTCGCAGGGTTTACTTTAGGTCCAGTATATTAGGATTATCCAAAGAAGTAAACCCCTCCCTACAGCTTCCTTGATCTGAGACTGGCCTGCTTTTTTTTTTTTGCCCACGCCTTTACTTCTGGGGCAAAGGCTCCTGCTGCTGGCTTATGTGACAGTGCTGGACAGGTGAAATTCCTAGAGGAAGAATTCTTAAGTCTTACTGTTGTAGCACCCTGCATGCTGGGGTTTTGAGCCTTGATCAGGCTCTCAGCACTTCTAGGGAGTAGTAAGACATACCTCAATGGTGCTTCTACCTTAGTGACAGATCACAAAATACTCAAGGGTTTGAGTGCCCTGCTGTCACTGAAGATGTTGCTTGGACCTCAGTGGGGTTTCAAGATGTCAGGGCTTGAGCTTCCTCTTGGATATAGAGCCTCTGCCTCAGCACTATTGCTCCCTGCAATGTCAGAGACCATCTGGTCAGGTGGGGATCATAGCCTGTCATGGCTGATGCTCATCAATGCACTACAGTGATTCCCTTGTGCAGTGGGAGATAGTGATTTATAAGATCACCCCAAACCAGTGTTTGCCACGTCCCCTGCAGTTGTATGAACTCTTACTAATCAGGGGATGGGGCTGTTTTGCGCTGCAGTTATGCCGAAGTATGCATAGTCCATCCAGCAAAAGCCAGATACTCTTCCCCATATAGATGTCTCTGTATTAGAGAAGCTGGGAGGGTCTGAGCCAGGAGCACTGCTGCAGTACAAACCTTGCTAAGAAGACCTACCATTCTTTAGGGTTTCTTGAGTTCCCTTTGTACGAATGTAGGACAGAGGAGTAGAAGGCAAGTCTACTGTTGATTCAGCAAGTCTGGTCCCCTGCTGTTGCCAGTAATCACATCATATATTAGTAGCAATATATCCATGCCCTGATACCATGTTGCTCCTAAAAGGCTGTTGTTTTTATGGGAAATGTCATCCGAGTACAACAAGGAAAATGTTCCCAAAGGAAAGGTTATTCATCAAAGGTTGTTGCTTTTAGCAGGTGTTGCTGCAAACAAGTGTTGACTGTAATATGGCAATTCTCAAGCTTTGTAGACTCAAAACACCCTTCAGAAAATGCCAGCTCTTAGCTTTTACTCTTTTTTTTATTTTACTATGGTAAAATAATAGAGCATTTTTTCTTGTAAAAAGAACTTAAAGGACTATAACAGGCATGCATGTTTTTGGCATTATGACTTCCTCTGTGAAATCTACAGTATCTTGTGAATCATATAGCTGTTTGCATACTGCAGCAAACAGCTGTAATGTCTTTCAGGAACTGATCAAATTGCTGATGAGAGATACCTTAAAACCACAACAATTAGGGTTTCTGCACCACTACTCCTATTAGGAGGCTTTCCCAGTTCCTCATGTCTCTGCCTGGTTAGAAACCCTATGATCCCAGCCTCAGTTTATCCATAGCCATGAAAACAGAGTTCAGCACAGCACACCCCTTACAGACTTTCCAGGACAAGTTCTAACCACTTAGCAAGCTGGGTTCTACATTTGAAATGTGAATGGAAGTTCTCAATCTGCACTCTCAGGCTCTTCTGTGATTTCGTTTCAAGGGCTTCCTCATTGAAAGCAAGATGCTAAGTCTTCTGCAGCCGCTGGATAGGAATGAGCGTACCCTGATGACGCTGGATTCGGTCTTTATGGTCAGTTCTGCTTCTTGCAAAACACCTGTGGGTGGGAGCATGATGGTAACACGCCCCTGAGGATTTGTGTTTAGTTCCTGGGGGCTGAGAGCCTCCCATGGTAATGCAATGTCCCAGAGGCAGATCAAGTGAGATGCTGCCTTAGAAACTTGCCACCTCCAAATGAGAAGGGAGAGGATATGGTCACTTATCACGTGATTAGAGTTTGCTGTTGAATTTTGCTGGGTGGCTGTGTGTGTTCCTCTCCAGCTGTCCAGGTGTATTTGTAAGAGGGCTGAATGGCAAAAGGGAGCAGAGTCACAATGTGGCATAAGCCCATTCTTCTCCTTCAATATCCCTGTTATCTTCAACGCTCTCTCTTGCAATCCCCAGCATGTGCCCTCACCTGTCCTCCTGATGCTTCTTGTCCTGACTGCCTGCTCCTGTTGAAGCTGCCTGTCCTGGCCTCGGATCCTGTTGCATTGTTCCCCACATTTCCCTATTCCTGATAAGCCCTATATCTCCAAGGACCTCATCCCCACTGGCAGATGCCCTTTAGGGCTGTGCAAAGCTTCGCTGGCTGTTTTGTTTCAATGCTGTTTCAACTCATTTTGAGCTCGAAACAGCAAAATCGAAACGAAATGAAGGGCTTTGAAACAGCCTCAAAACAAAACAAGGCCAGTCGAAACATTTCAGATTTCAAAGCAGTCCGGTGGTGGGAGGCAGGGGAGAGCCAGGGCTGCACTCCAAGCAGCTCCACAGCCCCATGTGGCTCAGCCCAATGGGGAGTGCAGCCCTGGCTCTCCCCACCCCCCTGGATCAGCTCTGATGCAGGGCCTGGGGGAAATCAGTTTGTGCGGGGGTCCACACACCTGGGAGCAGTCTGGCACAGCCCCTGCAGCCCTACCAGAGTGTGGGCGAGCCCCCGATCTGCCTGCCGGATGACAGGAGGCTGGTGCTGCTGGCTGGGGCCAGTGGCAGCACCAATCTTCCCGGCCCTGGCTATGAGCAGTGCATTGAAACAGCAAAAAAAAGAGTTTTGACGGAATGAAACAGTGCTTTCAAAACTAAATGAAACTCTAAACAAAATACTATTCCATCAAAATGAAACGGAAGTCAAAGCAGAACGATGCTGTTTCTCACAGGCTTAATACCCTCATCCCTCACTTATAGAGCTCTCCATTTTGTACAGACCACTTTGCACTGCCTGTTCCCACTGGGCCTTATCTCCCCAAAGTCCCTTATGGCCCCTTCTTCAGTGGGCTTCTCTTTTTATCTGCCGGGGTGGGGGGCGTGTAGAGCTCGGCATCATATCCTCTTTTCCCTCAGGCAGCGTATCTGCTACCCCTGAGCTTCCAACACCTGGCAGCCCAGAGAGGGTCCAAGAGCTTGAACTGAAGCCTGGGCATGCAAAATGCTTCATTGGGTCAGTGTGCCAGACCCCCCACCCCACATCACCAGAGGGGAAGAACTGTTAATTAAGCTTCTCTACATGGGCTGCTCTGAAAACAGGAGTAAATTGGGGCTAGACGGCCACAGCTTTATTTCACCAAGTGATGACTGGCACTTGGCGTCTTTCCTCTGCAGGCTCTAGACATTGACAGTGAAGCTGACGTCTATAGGCTGGTGGATTACTTCTTGAAGTTCAAAGCCCAACAAGATGCTTCCAGCCAGGTAGGAGAAACATGGACCACAGGAAAGGGCGAGTCAACAGCCCTCTAAGAAAGGTCATGTTTTTAACTCTGTGCCATACAATTTGGTGATTAGCACTAGACCCCACTATGGTCCGCATTCAAACCTACTGTCAGCAGCTGAAATGCCAGGCATATGGTGGGGGGGATCTGATCCACTTCAAACTAGACTGATGTTAACCCAGGGGCAGGCAAAATCTGGCCTGTGGACTGAATCCAGCCCACCACACCATTCTATCTGACCTGCAGGGCTCCTAAAAATATATAAAGTAATATTTATCTGCCCCAGGCAGCCTGTTAAAACTGACAGGAGCCAGAGGCAGTAGGACCCAAGGGGAGCCCAACCCTGCCCACTGTGACGGGGGCAAACTTTCACCCCCAGTGCAAGAACCAGCCCACCTCCTGTCTATAGGCCAGCCGACCACCTCGCTTGCCCATCATGCCTTTATGTAATAGTACTGAGATGTTAATTAGGTGGGAGGCTGCCAATTTTAAACCCTAATATTTAGAGGAATATCTGCAGGTCCGTTCCATCCCTACACTGCGGCCCAAGCCTTGCAAATGGCATCCCAGGCAGCTAAACTCAGCTGTACCCTTCACCCCCTTAGCTGTGGTCCCCTCTCTGGGACCTTCAGCTTCCCCTTAGGCCCTGGCCCCATCTCATGCCAGTTGGGCTCCTGAGACTCTTTCCTCTGGGCATCCCTCACAGTGGGCCACCTTGGCCTTTCGACCCTCCACTTTGGGTCCTGGCCCCAGTATGGGCCAACTGAGAGTCCTTTAGGACAAATCTAAGTTGCTTGCCTGCTTACAGGGTTCAGGGTCCCCCGGTTCTGGCTCAAATGCTTCGTAAAGCAAGCCTGGCCCTGCAGGCTCACTCACCTCAGCAGGCTCAGGTGCTTCAGGAAGCTTACCTGGCCTTCCCTGCATTATATAACCCACCCAAAGATGGGGGTTGAGATTAAGGCGCCCTGACCCACCTTCTATCAAGGAGGTGATCACTCCTGGCATTTACCTGGGAACTGCCGCACCACCAGCCGCCCCATCAGGCCTTCCTGCTCTGGCAGGGTGCAGTTTTAGGTCATGCCCAGGACCAATGAGGCCTCTAAGCAATCTGCATAGCCTCACCATTACTCCAAGGTGTTTCTGGCAGAGCTCAGCAGAGAGATGCTTCCCCTGTGCTGGCTGATCACGAACTGCCCTCAGCTCAGGGAGCTGGGCCTTAAAATGGCCACCCTAATCAGGCACCTGCCCCTCCCTGGCCCAGTCCCTAAAGTGGCTGGCACCACCAGTGCCTTGCCACACCCATCCCTAGTCATTTCACTCCCTTCTTGCCCCCCTCACTGCTCCAGCACCAAGTCAGGGATTAGGGGGCAGGACTTTCAGTCACAAGGTGGTGACCAGGGGGCAGGACATCTGTCAAGGGGCAGGGCTACCAATGCAGCCCTTGACAGCTTGCTAAAACTCAGTAAGCGGCCCTCCACCCAAAATAATTCCTCACCCCTATGTTAACCCCATCTACCTCTTTCTTTCGAGTCCAGTAAATGCTAGTTTCCAGCCTAGCTACTCCACTGGGGCTGGGGATGACTGGAAGTTCCCAGTGTTTGCTGTAGGAGGCACTTACCTGCTGTGAGTGAATGAGAAAGTTAGAGTGGATGACCCTACTTGAAAACTGGCTTTTGGAAGCCTTGTGTGAAAGCAGTTAACTCCTGGTCTCTGTACTGTCCCATAGGGTAAGGAGAAGACAGTAGAGAAAGATGAAGATGCCTGTGAAGAAACAGATGGGGAGGTAGCAAAGGAAGAGGATGGCTCTACTGCTCCAGAGGAGAAAGGCAAGGCCCTTCTGCCTTCAGCAGCTTTACTGTCCTCTGTGTGCCTCCACCCTGATGACATCCTCAAAGCTCTCAAGGCCTTTGTCCAGGACCTACACAAGCTGAGGTGAGGACTGAGGTGTACTCAGAGATCCCTAGCTGGGACCAGAGTGGCTGGGCTGAGCCGTTAGCTGGTTGGCTGGAAAGGGGAACATATGGATCACAGGAGAACAAGTGGCATTGAAGTAGGGGAGGGAGAGGTGGTAGGATATGGCAGGGAGGGAGTGAGGCTGGGGAAGGCAGCTGGGGGTAGGATGAGTCTGGAGGATAGCAGGCAGGACATGTATTTGCAAAGCAGGAGTAATTTATGCAGATGATATTGGGCAGAGCCGTGATAGGGCAGGAAATGTCCCTGACAGCGAGCAGGGGATGTGATCTACCTAGATGGGAAATACCAAGAAAGTTTTTTTGGAGGAGGAGGCAGTAGGTGAATGAAAACTGGAGGAGAAAAGCAGAACATTGATGGCAGGGAGACAGTAGGCTTCCCCAGGCTGGCCATGGACAGTGGCTCCTCCACTCATGCTTGTCTGCATGTCTGGGTGACTCTGGTGCACAAATGCGCTTGGAAAAGACAGCAAGTCAGGGAGGGCTGGGGCTTAGTTCCTACCCAGAACCCTGAGCCTCAGGCTTTGTTTTTCATCCCCTAGGGAGAAACAAGCCCTGGGAAGAAGACTGTTGGATGGTCGGGACACCTCCACGGACTCAGGGTACTGGGACAACCTGGCACACGTCATCCCAGCACAGAAGCTAAAGCTTTGGGATGCACTGGAGGCAGCTTTGGAGAAATACTAGTAAGAGTGGTCCAGGGATGGCCCAGGCAGGTCTGTTCTTCAGCGTGTGGGCACCTGGATCTATATTGCAAGCTTATGACTTTGCCATTAGTGGTATGCTGTAGAGACCAGCATGGGAATGTGCACCTGGTGGCTCCCAGCCACCCCCTGTAGGAATGACCAGGTCTGAGGCTCCTCTACTAAATTGTGCCTGGGGGACCGGGCTTTCATGGAATGTTGTGTCTCCAGTCAGCCTACAATAAGCTACAGACACTGTAGGCTGAAGCAAACAGGGGGGCTGGGTCTAGACTTTCCTTACAAACAGGTTAGCTCCCTGGGGTGAAGAACTTAATGAAGACAGACCTTGGCATATAGCTGGCCAGGTCCTTGTTCCTTGCCCAAGACTGGCTGCTGAGTGATGTGTGGAGGAAGCCCCCTCCATGGTAGGAGAGATGAATTTCCATTTCTTTTACAGCCAAATATTCCTCTGGGTCTTTCTGATCCTTGAACGTTCTGTAAGTTAAAGCAGAAGGCAGGCTAAATTTGCACATTTATAGACTAAATCAGACATGTATAACATAAACTTTCATAAACAGAGGGCTTGCTTCATTAAATGCTGCACTTCTTCATTGGCTCTAGGGTTTGTGTCCTGAGCTAATGATGGGATGGCTGCAAGCCCAAAGCTGCGTGTGGGCCACTGAGCTTCAGGCTGAAAGTTCAGCCTTGGTTGGCTTGAGAACTTTTGAGCAGCTGTTTAGTTAAGCTGGTTAAAACATGTTGCTAATAACACCAGGGTCACAGATTTGATCCCTGGTTGATCTCTTTTGAGGACCCTTCCAGCCTTAGTTCTCTATGATATGATAATTAAAGCTTATATACATGTTTCATTTAGTTAGGCTATAAATGGTGCAACTCTACTTTGCCTTCTTCCTGACTTCAGATTAACATGGCTAACTATCTCACCCTGTAAGTTATAGACCTGTCCAGAGCCTCTCTGTGTAAAGAACCTGACTTACATCATCAACTGATTGTGTTCACAAATGAGCAAGGGAAAAAAATGGCCCTGTGATTAACTTCCTAACACCTGAAATGGAAAAGGAACTGCAGGCTCAGTGTTGTCATTAGGAACCTTGCCAGGGCAGTGTTGGTGACCTGGTAGGTGCTCAGAATCTGGTGCGCATGGCACAAGGCAGGGAAGGTAGAGGGCAGGATCTGATATGTGGGTGGCAGTGTGTGATTCCTGGGCTGAAGTGTAGTTGGGCCATGGCACCAGTTGCCCCCTGCTGTAGTGGAAGATACCAAAGGGTCCCAGCCTATAAGGGGTTGAGATTTGGGTTGTGGTTATGAAGCACAAAGGTCGCATTACGACGGGCAGAGGAATGAAGGCTTTGCCACTCAAATGTTAACCCTGTCCCTTCCTTTCTGCAAAGCAACATTCTGACGCAGAGATTGAAGCTGCTCATGAAAAACAGCAGTCTCCAGCAGCAGAATGCAGAGCTCCACTTGTTACTGCAGCAGTATTGTACCTCTCAGGTGAGTAGCAGAACTGAGGTCCCCTGGGGCTCTGTGCAGCTGCTAGTTGCAAGTAAATGCCAGGGCACTCAGGGCTTCTAGGCTCCATGCTGTGGAAGTTAGTGTCTGGAGGTGCCTGTCTTTAAGGAGCATGGTTGCCAACACAAGAAATGTTTTACTGATAATTGTAAACTTTTCTTTTTTTACCAACAAGCAAACTTTTTTACAGGCACATTTTTACTGATACATATTTCACATAATGTAAATGTAACTCTTCTACCAGGCCCTGCCCTGCTGCCAAGCGCCATTTTAGAAGGGCTGCATTCAAATTTAGACCTTTAACACCACACAAAGTAAAAAGGTTTGGTTGTCAGGAAAGGTTTGCAGTTAAAAAAAAATATCTTAGGTTAGCAACTCTGTTTGACTGCAGCAGTGTTTTTATACCATGCTGCCCCCTCCTAATCACCTCCACATGCTGATATCCCTGACCACCCCCTATACCATGCTGTCCCCTCTATTTACCCCCCTTGCTTTACCCCCTCTGGCCCTGCTTCCCCTGGTCCAGCACAGATGCTCCCTGAAATAAGGCTACTTTCAACCCAGCAGTATTATAGGCAGCTGACAGGACTCAGAAGCAGCAGCAGCACATGGCTAGGAGGGAAGAATTCTAAAAAGCACTGAGAAAAAGCTCTCTGCAGGGTGCTGCACTCCTGCTCAGACACCAAATGGTGGTGGTGTGCTCTTTCTGTCCTTCAGTGGTCCACCCAACTTCTTTCCCACCAGAGATCTTCAATTAGCTCCAACTGCTTAGAGGTTTTAAGGACAGCTCAATTTTTTTAATGGACTTTACAGACGGGCTTTTTTAACCTGATTTTTTTTCTGACTGTCTATATTTATGGGCAGTTAGCAACCCTGTTTAAGAGGTATCCTGGGAGCCCTAAGCATTCTAACTAGAGCTGGTGTTCTCAGGTCTTCCAGGCTCCCTATTAAATGAAATTGACACCCTTGTCCATTTCACTGGTCTGTTAGTAGAAATTGTCAGGAATGTCACTTTCCCAGGAAATTATGCAGAGGCCTGAAACACGATTACTTTCAAGGTCTACAATTCTAGGAAAACCAGCCAGGCCAGCTATTTCAAAGCTGTTGAGAACTGGGAGCCTAAAAAGCCTGAGAGACTTGCCTCTAAGTGGCTCCCAGCACCACAGCAGGGTTCCTAGAAGTCCTAAAAGTCCTGGCACAAGGTAACACTCGGGGCTTACAGTCTTCGTACTGTGGAACTGCCTGGTTGAGAGCCAGTCAGCCTATGGAGCCCACTGGCTCTAGAGTCTTCAGTCTGAGTCAGTTCTTGTAGCGGGGCCCCTCCAGAGACGCAGACCTCGAGGACTTGTCCAGGATCATTGTCATTCTTGTTTCACTGTTGCTAAGAGTCCTGGTAAAACTGGCCAGCAGTTGCTGAAACATAGACATTAGGGGCTGGAAGGGACCTCATGAGATCATCGGGTCCAGCCCTGTGCCCCCCCCCCCCCGCCCCGCCATAGGCAGGAAGTCAGCTGGGATCAGGTGACCCCAGCAAGAAATAAATCCATCTGTTTTTTTAAGGAGTCTAGAGTAGGTGCTTGCATCATCTCTGGGGGGAGTTTGTTCCAGACCCTGGACACACTCACTGTAAAGAACTTTTTTCTTATGTCTAGTCTACATCAGCCTTCCTGGAATATATAGCCGTTAGACTTTGTTATCCCTTGGGGAGCTCTGGAATATGTATGGCAGACACACCGCTCTTTGGGAGATTCCTAATTGTTTCTGAGTTTCTGGTTCAAGGGAAATTTTACACATGTTGCTTTGGTCCTGATCCAAACCAAAACCATATTTAAAGCCAATGACTTCTCTCATGCACTGGAATCCCACATTGGCCAGTGGCAGCTCAGACCCAGGGGAGGCCCTTTGGTATGGACTGAGGTGATCATGCACATGCAGAATGGGCCAGGCACAGTAAGCACAGTAAGAGAGAAAAGTTCCCAACCATACATTGGCTTAGATCCATATGGCTAAGGGCCTCAAGGAGTCAGTTGTGGAGGAGAGAGGTGGGCAATCTCCTTCCCATACCATGCCAGGTCAGAAGGATTCCTGGCTGCAAATCTGACATCATCCCACTTTCACTGGCTGCAGTTAAAATTGTCAGGGGGAGGTAGAGAGTGAGAAGAAGGCCAAAGACGCTTTAACTTTGTGATCTACTATGCTGTGGGATCACCTCCTGCAAAGTCCAGAGTCCCATTTCCTGGAACCACTTAAAGAACACCCCATGGGGGCACAATCTTGCAGTGATGCAAGCACATGTGGGCAATGCAGGCCCTGATAGCACTTTTCCAACTCCCTGCTGCAAATGGTAATTCACAGTAGATGCAGCCATGAAAGATTTGGAACCTGGAAGGTTATATCCATTCCTCTTCTGACACCATTCCATAGTGCTGTTTCCTAGGAGCATTTCCAAGCTGCTTCAGGATGTGGATGCCTGTCTCCAGCGCTGTGCCATTCGTGGTATGAACAGCAGGCCTGTCATTTCATGGTGGACATGACTTCTCCCTTTACAGATGAATGATAAGTTGCTGATTCCTCCTACCCAGCTGATGGAACTGAGCCCACCATAACCATGGAAACCAGGGCGAGACTATCACCTTCATTTTCTTATCCTGTGAGTCTTTCCCTGTACAACATATTATCCTCTGGAGTATCAGCCTGACGGGACAGACAAGACTGTAATAAACCTCTCTTTACATCACTTGGGGGCAGTGCTGTGTGTGATTCCAGAAACAACTCTTCCTCCTTTCACCTGACCCAGAAATAGGCCATGGCTGGCTGTCAGCTCCATGCAGATCACAGCACAGTCTAGCACTAAGATGCCTCCCTACTGGCTCTTCTGCTGTCGTGCTATGTGATCTAAACAATCCCATTCCCAACCTCCCTTCTCTGCTAAGTTTTCTATCTTGTTTTCTTTCATCCTAAGGGCTGCTCCATACAGGATCCTCTAACTAGGTGGTGGGTGACTGCTCTTCCCAGCTTGGGGTATGCCTTACCAGCCACAACCAATGTAACTCCCCAGGCCTTGGATGCAGTGCTGTGTTCCCCTTTCTTTCCCCCAAACCCTGAGCCTGTTGCTTGCCCGAGGGCCCAGAGGGTAGTACCTGTTCAATACTGGGCTTGTTAGATGTGTGGTGGGGGGGCACCAGTCAGCAGCCCACACACAGGATGTCCTTCTAGTGGTATAGCACTGTCGGCGCCGGGTTGTTTTTGTATTTATTTTGCTTGGTTTTTTTTAAATATATATATTTATAGAGAGAGAGTTATATATACATCATCTAGCATAAACTTTCCATCACACACCTTAAACCACATTAAGAAACTGCGCACCCGGTACAATAAATGCACCTGCTCCCCTGCGCACACACCCGCTGCCCTTTCCCTAACCCTGGCTTGTCCACCATGCGGCCCGCCAAGCCGTTTTCTAAGGCCCGAGGTGTTGTGACAGGAAACAAAAGTAAACACCGTTTACTTTCGTTCCCACCCCTTGGCCCTCCCCCAGCCCCTCAGCAGCTTCCGAATGGCTGCTGAAGCACTGGGGAAGGGACAAGGTTCCCACACGCAGCCCGCAGCGAGCAGTGTCCCATGGCAGGACCCGGGCGCACACGCTCCCTGGTGCCTGGACAACTTACCAGGCATCCTTGAAAGCAGGCAGAGGCAGCAGTGTGGGGTCAGGGCCAGGGCTCAGCGGTGGAGCCGCGTGGGGCCGAGGCAGTAGCGGGGGGTGGCACAGGCACATGCAGCCACCGGGGCAGCAAGGCGGGCAGCGTCGGAGCAGAGAGCGCCTTTTCCACATATCCCAAGGAGGCTGCAGCTGGGAGGATGAGGAGGAGCCCTGACTGGGGCTTCTGCACGTGGCAGCAGCTCTCCCTGCCCCACTCCGCTCCGTGCCCGGCTGCAGCTGCGGCCGTGCCCGGCTGAGCCGTGGGGGCGGGGAAGGAGCAAGCTTCAGGGCTGGGACAGAAGGCTGCTGCCAGCTCTTGTCACCTGATTCCCAGGATGAGCAACCACTGCGGAATACGGAAGCGGCAGCAGCAGCAGGCAGGAGTTTCCTTTCCCCACCAGCTCTGCCATACCCGATTCCTCATCTGCACCATGCTTCCCCCACCCTCCCCTTCCCCAGCCACCTGCTAGGGAGCTGAGAGCAGTGAGGGGTAGAGGGGGAGATTCACATCCCAAAACCCCCCTGCTCATTGTCAGGAGGAATAAAAAAAAAATAGCCACAGCAGCACTAGAAGTTCTTTGCATCATCAGCCCAGCTGGTGCTGCTGCTGTCTGCTCGCTACTGTTCCCAAGAAGCAAGGCAAGGGCACGCAGGTGGGAGGAAGGCAGCTACACTTCTCCCGCCTAACCAACAGGTAAAAATCTTTGTAAAAATACTGTCCAGTGTTTGGATTGTGTTTGCTTCTGTTTCTCTTTGTGGGGGATTGGGGGTTCAACTTGTTACTACTTGTTAAAGATGTGTTACTAACAAGTTACTAATACAATAAAAGTAAATCTTCTTGAAGATTATTCTCAAAAATGCCCATTTTTTGTTGCTTTGATTAGTTTCCACTCTGGCTGATATCTTTTCCACATTTGATCTGTCGACTTGCATTATGCTTCTTTCATTCATTGAGAAGTGAGTAGAAGTGAAAGTGTTTATTTTAGTCAAGTGTTTGGTATTATTTCATTGTTGCTTTTATATTGTTTTTATTTTGGATTTTAAACCACATTTCCAGATCCATATCATTGTCACTTCCTGCAACTTCATTGGTGTCAAAGGTCATGTGACATCACTTTCTGATGTGATACCGCTTCCTGTGAGGTCTTTGAATATGGCTCACCAGCCCACTGGGTGATAAAAAGTTCATGATCCGGCCCCACATTCAAAAAGGTTGGACACCCCTGCCCTAACCCAATCGCAGTCCCTTAGTCCAGCCCCCGAGTTGAGGTTTACATTCTCAGTTCATTTTCTGTCCTTGTCGATGTCGATGTCACTTCCGCTGCTGCTGATCCTGTTGCTGTCTTCCTCACTGTCTTTGGGTCCAGTTGCATTGTTGTCCTTTTCATTCTTCTTGTCCACTTCCCCTCCCAGGGGGTCTTTGAACAGCCTGTGCCAAGTGTCCCATTTCCAGGTGGGGGTGGCTGCATCTTCTCCATCGTCTCCCACTGCTTTCTGATAATAGGACTGAAGTTCACTCAGAAACATTTAAACTCGGTCTGTTTCCTTGAGTTCTGTGTGTCTGTACATCAGAAGGTTCCTGCATTGCCACAGAGCACTCCTGACACAGGACACATTGGTCAAAGCGGGTTGTCGGGGACCCCTGCTGTTTAGTCAGGTGTCCGTACAGTGCCGCCTCCGTTGTCATCAGCCTGACCCGTCACTTCTTCGCGGAGCCAGCTTACCTACTGTCAGTGCCAGGTGCTTATCTTTTGAAAACCTCTGGCTTGCGAGGGCAGAGTAGACATAGTGGATTGGAGTGGCCCCTCATCCCATACCCCTGCTGGCCCCTGTGAGCCTGGTCTGCTTCCTGCACCTCCTCTGTCACCCAGCAGGGTGTGAACAGGGCCAGCCCAGGCTACACCCATGGTAATTCTCCTCCCAGCACTGGCAAGTGAGGTCTCTACTACCCCCAACCTCAAGGATGTGGGACTGGCAGGGCCCTCCTGAGGCTCTCTTCCAACCCCTGCAATATCTGGTACATAACTAACCAAGCTCCAGCTTAACACGAGCTAGGACTTTGTGCACCCCCCTCCCCACAGCAAGGCTCCTCCCTGCCTTTGCTCATGGCCATTTTATGCCCACTTGTCATTGTGCCAACACTGCCCTTTTTCATTTACGGCTCTTTTCCCTCAGCCATTGCTTGCCTTCCCCTCCTTTTTCACAGTGAATTCTCCTCTTTCAATTAACTGACAGCCTTCATGCCCAGGGCTGCAGTTTCTTAAACGGACAGGGTTCTGGCTCATGGCTGCAGGTCCTCTTCCTCTACCTTCCTGGCCCCTGCCTCTGTCCTTCTTTCTCTCTCGCTCTCAGCCTTGGCTGAGTAACAGGGTTAGGGTCCCCTGTTACACCCCCTGCCCTTCCCCCCCGCAACAAGATAGAGCTCTGCCTCCTTGTTTCACCAATCCTATCTGGCATAGCTATGTGGCAGTGCCCCTGAGTTTTGCCCAGCCATCCTCCCTCTGCCATCCCCTCTGGGTATCTCTAACATGGCTAGGCAACCTGAACATGACATGACATGTTTATCCCTGTCCCCTGCGTGGGCTGAGTTGTGCATGAAGGCTCACTGCACATGGCAAAGTATCATTCCCAGGGAACAGGCGGCTTTGGCAGGTAGGCAAGAGATGAATGGCAGTGAGGAAGTCTGGATGCGGTATAGGTCTGGGAGATGCCACATATGCCCTGGCACTTGCTGTAGTAGCTGTCCTCCAGGGCAATCTTGATTTCCCTGATGAGGTCATTGGTCCTACAAGGTCCCAGTTTTACACTGCCACAGTCAGTGTGGACACCATGGGGAAGATAGCCTCTTATGACAAACTACCTAGGAAGGGCAAAGGGGGAGAGGTGGAAAGAGCATTAATTCAGCCAGGAGCCATGATTGTCAACGATACAACGGTTCAAGGCATCAAACTGGTGTGAGCGATGGTCTGTGTGGTCCCTCATACCACACCGCTATAGTAACCTGAGCATCTTCCAGTAGAACATGAAGCATTGTGGCCCTGCAAAGAGGCTGTCACAGGTTCATTCTCTCCAATACACATGGCATGTCTTGGTACAATTCTGCTTTTGGCTACACGTGTGTTAAAGGAGGCATCTCAGAGAGTCACACCTGGCCCTGCAGCAGTTGGTAAGGAGACCTGTGAGGATCCTGCTACCCCTCAAGTAGCTCATTACATACTTCGGGCATGTATACGCATACCTTTTTGTGTTGCGACATGCACTTTCAAAAGCACCTGACACTGTGTCTCACACAGATCTAAAAAATGCCTGGTGCCCCCAAGATAACTGTCCTCCTACCTAGCAATAATTTTCACTAATGGCAGAGAACTCAGCTCCCTGCTCTTTTACAGATGCCCTCAGTGACATGGCAGTTGGAAGGGCCTCCTTATCCATCAAGTCCAGTCCCCTGCATTTTCAGGCAACCCACCAAAGCGACACCCGAAGTATTTCTTTCAGATCCATACCCACAACCTTAAAGAAAAGAACGCTCCCATCCCCCCGCAAACACCAAGAACACCCTATGGTGTGATCTTGGCAAAGTCTCGTCTACCTACTGCCGAGAGCAGGTTTGGGCAAAATATGGCCCATGGACTGCATCCAGCCTGCCAGGCAATTTCATTCAGCCCGTGGGCAGGTGCCCACCAATTAATTGAATCTGACCTGGCCCATGGCTGCCCTTGCTGTGCTCTGCATAGGGCCAAGACCCACCCATTCCCACCAGGGCAGCATGCTCACTCCCACCCTTGTCCATGGGAGGGCCTTGCCTAGCGTGCACAGCTTCTGAGCAGGGTTGCTGCCACTGCTGCAGCTACCCAGGGAACTACTTGGCTCCCCTAGCCTGCAGCTGCTCCTCCTCCTGTCCATACTGCAGCACTCTGGGCAGCAGTTAGGGAAGCAGCAGCATGCAGAGGGAAAGCTGCAGCTGGGTAGGAGCATGGGACCTGTGCCAGGGCCAGGGCTTGTGGGGTAGGGCAGTTGGAGCATGGGGTCAGTGTCATCCAGAGTGCAGGGCT